CTCTCTTCACCTCTCCTCTCTTCTCTTCTCACCTCTCCTCTCTTCTCTCCTCTCTCCTTTCTCCTCTCTTCTCTTCTCTCTTCTCCTCTCTCTTCTCTCTTTCCTGTCCTCTCTCCTCTCTCCTTTCTCCTCTTTCCTCTCTCTCCTCTCTTTCTCTCCCTCTCTTTTTCTCTTGCCATCTTCACCTCCCATTATCAAACTCTTATCTCTTTTCTGGTTCATATTCTACATACAGTAGCACCTCTTTATGCATAGTTTGGTTTTCTGTAGTCTCAGTTATGTATAATCATCTGGAATAAAAAATATTAAATAGAAAATTCTAGACATAACCTATAAATTTTCAGTTGGGTACCACTCGGGGGAACAGTACAATGAAATCTTGTCCACTCCTGTTTCTTCCTCCCTAGAACATGAATTATCCCTTTGTCTGTATGTCCATGTTATATCTGCTGCCCACCTACTACCCACTTGGCACCTCCCAGTTATCAGATCAACTATTGCAGCACCACAGAGCTTCTTTTCAAGTTACTTTTATTTCACTGAAAAGTACTCTCTCAGTCCCAGGGAAGCGATACTGGCAATTGGGATATGCCAAAGAGAAGTTGTGAAGGGCTTCCTTTTAGTGAAAAGATGAAAGTTTTCAAATTAATCCCAAAAGAAAAGTATACTGAAGTTGCTAAGATCTAATGCTAAGAACAAATCATCTACTAGTGAAATTATAAAGAAAGAAAAGGACATTTGTGCTAGTTTTGCTGTCACATCTCAAACTGCAAAAGTTAAAGGCACAGTGTGTAAAAAGTGCTTAGTTAAGACAGAAAAGGCATTAAATTTGTGTATGTGTGTAGGGAAAGAAACATGTATGGAGGGTTCAGTACTGTTCAGAATTTTTCAAGTATCCATTGGGCTCTTAGAACTTATCCACAAGAACAAGGAAGACCACTGTGGGCAGCAGTGCAGGAGAATAATCTGGTCATGGTTCCAACTCAGGACAGTTTAAGTGTGCTGGCAGCTCATGTAGCAGCTGTCCTTGGCCAAGCAGGACCAAGCAAGACCGCCTCCTCCACAGTGGTGCAGACAGGGCGCTTCCCAGGAGAAGGCATCAAGCACTGCACCTCCAGGAAGCAAGACCTGTTGTCCCTGTGCCCTATAACCACAAATTAGCCAGAGCAGTGCACACATGACAGCAAAGTGGAAGCCATGCGTTATCTGTTATTCTACTTCAAATGTTTGCTTAAAATCACCCCTCTGCTTTTCCCTGCACTGCACTCTAAGCTTTTCAGCAGTTTTCACCACAACCCAAATAAGAGACACGTTTCCCTGTCCTACCTGTACTCTGTGACATCCTAGTCATTTATTCATTTGCTTGTCTACTTACTTAATATCCACTAAGTATCTATTTTACTCATTACCCATTGTAGTAGGTGCAACAGTAGACATAAAAGTCACCCATCCACTCCATAAATATTAACTCACTTCTTACAAAGTGCCAGGCATTGTGCTGCTTGCTGGGAACAGAAGGATAACTAAGACACAGTCCCTGCCTGCTGCAGAGCAAGAATCCAATTAATGTTTGTTGATTTAATGAATGCCTTAAGAGAATTCAGTCTACTGAAGGTGACAGACAACTATTTAGACAACTTCACAGTAAAAAGGATATTCTGAAGATTGTCCACAGGAAGGGAGGACTTGAAAGATGGGCAATTTCTTGTGACAGACACTAATGTCTCTGCTGAGCCCTGGACAGTGAGTGAGCTGAGGCAGCATAGTGAGAGGAATGAGAGGAGGACCAGGGACTGCAGGGGGTGGGAAGCGCTGCCTGACCTGGAGGCCAGGGAGGGGATGAATATCACAAGGGCTGCAACTGGCAACCAAAAATAAATACATCAGTGCAGTTATGACTTTTTGGAACTAGGATGGAAGTTTTTAAGTAGAGGAGCACAAGGCACTCAATTTAAAGACCACATTCAATTTCACAGGTTCTCAATTTCATAGTCCAACTTGGGCTTTGAAAGTTCTCCCAAGGTCCCATTACAGCTGCATCCAGCTGGCAGAAGGGCATGAGATAGTATACACCACTCCCTCTCCTATTCTATTGGCAAGAGCTAGTCACTGGGGTTCTCCTAACTGCAAAACAGGCTGCAAGAGGTAGTATAACTGTCTTTTAGGAAGAAGAGATTTTTGGTGGCAGCTAGGATCCCAGAGAAGTTTCTAGGCAATGGGCATATGGAGAACTATGTGGGCATCCTGGTGATAGGTTCATCCAAAGAGCCCAGTGGTAGCTGCCAGGGAAGTCTGTGGGCACACAGAGCTCAGACCCGGGTAAACCCCTGGAACTCAGGGTAACAGAGGTAGTCCGAGGCACTTGCAGCAATTCTGTGAGGTGCAATGTTCTTGTCTTCTAAAGTGAGGTTTAAAAGTTGCATGTTCCACTTGCAGAAAGAGGTGCGTTTTAGGTACAAAGCTGCCAAAAACAATGAAGGGCCTGAATTTTTATTACTTTTAAGCTAACAAATTACTTTCATGGATATACTAATACAGAAAAGAAATACTTGAGTCAGGGATAAAAGACTTTAAAATTCACAAAAATAGCAGTGTCCAGAGTATCAGGACTTTCTTTTACCAGTTCCCCAACCCCAATTCTCATAGGATGATAAAAAGGGGAAAGGAGATGCCGGCATATGTAGTGGACTGTGTCACAAGAAAAGAATCCAGAGTTTAAGGGACCTAAGCCTTTCTGTAAGGAGTAGTAAGCATGCCTTCTCTTTGCTCTGGAGGGTGACATTATCTCTAACTTGCTAAGCTGTAAGCAAGTCCGCCTCTTAATCTGGAGAGAAACATGATTTCTATCTCGCAGCGCTGTAAGCAATTTTCCATTGGCCCTAGGAAAGAGTACACTATCTCTGTCTTCATACGTTGTTCACTTTACAAAACACCCCCCTAAAGATAGTCCAGAACAAAGGCAGCCAGTGCCTCTTGCTTACAACTGGTGCAGAAATGTGAAAGATACCTGGAGAATTATTCTCCAACGAAGACAGGGCTCTTTTTAACAATGTGGTATATTCTTGCTGGAGCTGCATGCATTGCATGCTTCTCTAAACCTCCAGATATTGACAAGCCTAATGCACAGTCCTCAGAGGACCTGGCTATTTGTACTCATTTCTTTGGGGTTTCATTTTGTCTTTTTTAGCGTTCTTTTTCTTCCTTTCCTTTTCTTTTTTATGTGTGTATGCAGAGGCTGGTGCAGTATGTGTGGCTAGGGATCGAACCCCAATCCCTGTACTTGCCTAAGCAAGTGCTTAGGCCGCTGAGCTATCTTGCTAGCCCTTCATTTAGTCTTAAGTCTTTGAATACTATCAGTCTTATAGCTTGCAATCCATGCTGATTACCTCAATTTTCAGTGTATGTTTTGGCATTGCCCCCATTTCCAGAGTTCAATTTGTAGGCACCTTTGAGGCTCCATTATTTGTTATTTTCTAAGATCCTGAACTTACCATGTTCTGGATTCTCATCTCCCCAGTGAAACTTGCTTGCTTTTTCTTCAGTCTGCCCCCTCTCCATGAAGAATAGCATTCACTTGGTTCCTCAGGACGAAAGCTTTTCTCTCTTGTATCCATCCAAACCACAAGCACAATTTGTTTTCAGTATATATTCTGAGTCTGACCACATCTCTGCCCATACATCAGCAACTTCCTAGTCCCAACCACTCTTGTTCTGCCCTCAACAATCATGTACTACTGTCTTGCCCCATATATTTTCCAAACTGGCTCCCTAATTTTCACAGCAACAAGGGGATTCCTTTGCTTTTAAAATATAAATTAAATGGTATTATTCCTCTGATTTTAACCTTCCAGTGATGTTCCCACCTATTTAGAGTAAAATTCAAGTTTAAAACTACACATCTTGAATATCTCTCTCCAATCTGACCCCCTACCCTCTCCTTTTTTGTATTCCATTTGCTTATAAAAATGCTTATAATGAGGCTTCTTCAGGACCTTTGTAATATTGCTCAAGTCACCTAGGGCTCTGCCATGTATCAGTTGATCTGGGATACCTTCATTGACTATCTTAAATAACATATATATATATTACCTCTCTTTTCACACAGATTTATTATTTTTCATAACCCTGAGCATTGCCTGGTTTTAGAAGTCTGTCTTCCTTCACTACTCTACAGCTTAGAATATATGCTGCATGAATCAAACTTTGCTTCAAGAATAATGTTTGGACTCTTTAATAAAATCTAAAGGTAAGATGTATTCCCATTCCTGGAAGCTAGCATTGTGTTGATTCAAAACTAGACAAGAGCCCAACCAAAAGAATTATAGGCCAATCTTTCTAGTAAACATAAAAACTCCTCAACAAGATAGTGATGAATAGAATAAAACAAACCATCATATCATGACCAAGTAAATAGGCTTTGGACTAAGGATGTAAGGATGATTCAAAATACATAAATCAATAAATGTAATTCATCATATAAACAGAAACACATGATTTCTTTGATAGATGCAGAAAAAGTCAGACAAAATCCAAGATTATTTTTTTATTAAAACCTTAAGGAAAGTAGGCATGTAAAGACCTTATCTCAATTTGATAAAAGTAATTTATGACCAATCTAATGCCAATATCACACTAAATGGGAAAAAATAAAATCTTTCCTCTAAAATCAGAAGCAAGACAAAGATGCCCACTTTTATCACTCTTGTTCCACAAAGTCATTGAACATTAGCCAGAGCAATCAGGCAAGAGAAAGAAATAAAAGGTAAATATATATATATATATATATATATATATATATGAAAAAAGCAGTTAAAGTCTTATTTACAAATTACACAATCTTCTACCTACAAGTCCCCCAAAATTCCACCAAAAGTCTGCTATAATTTATGACCAAATCCAAGAATGTGGGAGGATACAAAATCAACATAAAAACTCTACAGCATTCCTATATGCCAATAATGAACTCATTGAAAAAGATATTAGGAGAACAATTCCATTTATAATACCATCAAGAAAAATCACACACTTCAGAATTAACCTAAAAAAAGAAGTGAATAACAAAAAAGTTACATCACTCTGAAAGAAGAAATCAAAGAAGTCATCAGAAAATGGAAACATACCCCTTATTCCTGGATGAGCAGAACCAATATAGTTAAAATGGCTATACTTCCAAAAGTAATATATAGATTTAATGAAATCCTAATCAAAGAGATCACAGCATTCCTCACAGGGGTAGAGAAAACAATAAAAAAAGTAATATGGAGACAGAAAAGACACCGAGTAGTAGAAGCGATTCTGGGTAACTCTAGCAAAGCAGGAGTCATCATAATCTCAGATTTGAAATTATATTACAAAGCTACAGTAATAAAACAGCATGACATTGGCAAAAAAACAAACATATGAATGAATGGAACAGAATAGAGGAAGGAGAAACAACTCAAGTCATATTCAGCTACTTGATCCTTATCAAAGGGGGCAAAAAATATAGTTGAAAAAAGATATTTCTTTCATAAATGATGCTGGGAAAATTGGATAGCCACATGCAGAAAACTGGGCCTAGACCCACTTCACCATATACTAAAACTAAAATCAAAATCAATCAAATACCTAATGTGAAGTCAGAAACACTTGTAATGGAACATATAGGTAAAACTGAAGACATTAGCATAGGCAAGCACTTATCCTGAGGATCAGCAAATGGGATCATGTCAAATTAAAAGTCTTCTGCACAGCAAAGGAAATAGTAAACAGAGTGAAGAGACAACCTCGGAACGGAAAAAAATATTTGCCAGTTGTTACTTAGGCAAAGGACTACTATCTAGAATATATAAATAACTTAAAATGTAACTCCCCCTAAATAAAACACCAACCAAAACATGAACAAGTGAAATGAGCAGACCTTTTAAAGAAATATAAATGGCCAGTAAATACATGAAAGAAATGTTCAGCATCTTTGGTAGTTAGAGATATGCAAATTAAAATAACACTGAGATAATCTCTTACTCTAGAAAGAATGACTATCATCAAAAACTCAAATAATAACAAATGTTGATGAAACTTCAGAGAAAAAGAAACCCTTCTCTATCATTTATGGGAATTGAACTAGTTCAACAACTATGTAGATACATACAGAGATTTTTGCAGTACCAGGGATTGAAATCAGGACCTTGTACTTGTCAGACAGATGCTTATTCCACTGAGCTATATCCCCAGCCCCACATGGAAATTCTTAAAAAACTAAAAATAAAAAATCCATTTGACCCACTAGCCCCCCATAGATATCTTCCTGAAGGAGTTAAAACTATAATACAATGACAGAGAGAATTGAAGGAAAGATAGAAATAGAGATTTTGCAAATAGGAAAGGGAACAAGGGTTAGAAAAAATAGAGAAGGATGGGGAGAGAAGGAAACAAAAGAATAAGAATTAAGATGTATTATATACATGACCAACTGCCCCACAGTGAACGTAATCATTATGAACAGAAAACATGTACCAAAACAATTGTTAGAAATATACAGAAAAACGATGTTTGGCATTATGGAAAACAATATAGAGGCTCCTAAAAACAATGAAAATAAAACAGCCTTATGTTCTAGCAATAACACTACTGGATATAATAGCCAAAGGAATTGAAAAACTTATGTCAAAGAGGCATCTTCACTGATATATTTATTGCAGCACTGTTCACAATACGCAAGATAAGAAATCAGTCTAGCTGGCCACTGACAGGTAAATGGAAAAGGGAAAGGAGGTATTGCATATGTACAATAGAATGTTATGCAGCCATAAAAATCAATAAAATTCTGTGTTTTGCAACAACATGATGTAACTGGAGGATATTACATTAAGTGAAGTAGGTAACGCACAGAAGACAAACACCTATGTGTGGAAGTTAAGGAGTTGATCTCAAAGTAGAGAATTCAGTGGTCCCCAGAGTGTGAGAAGGGTGTGAGGGGGAAGGGCTTGAAAGAGAATGGTGAATGGGCAGAAGCACAGCTGATAAGGGGTGAAGGCTTCTGATGTGCCAGAGCACACAGGATGACCACGGTTGACAACAATGAATTGGATATTTTAGAATATCCAATAGAGAAGGCTGTCAGGGTTCCTAACACAAAGAAATGATATATTTCCAAGATTATAGATATGTCAATTATCCTGACCTAATTATTTCCCATTGTATATTTGTATTGAAATGTTACATTATAAACCAAAAATATGTAAAATTGTTGTGCTAATTAAAATGAATGTATGTTTAGCACAAAGTAAATGCTTTAATGAATATTTTGTTAAATCAATAAATGAGTAACAGCCAATACTGTATTCTAAAATTGGAGAAATATTAGGAACACTGAAATTTATGTCTTAATCTTTCTTCTCCAAGCTAAGTCAACTGATTTTATATAGCTGCATTTTTCCCCAAAGATATTTCACCTAACTCTAATAATTATGTCTTCTCACTGCAGAATTCTTCTAGGTTTTAGAGTTCAAAATTGGACATAGAGATTCTAGAAAAATCTCAAAGTTTAAATTTGCTGCTTGTCACAGATTTCACATGACTGCCCAGAAACATGCCTTTGAAAGATAATCTCCTAGGACATAAGCCCCACTTCAAAGAAGCCTGTCTGGGGTGGAGACTTTAGGATGTCAAAGTATTTGATTCTTCCATGTATACAATTTCTACGAATCCCAAGATACCTCCCTGGACCTGTTGGGGAGAAAATATAAACTACTCCATGAATTTAGCATTCTGAGGAGTTCAGAATGTTGGACTTATTGTTGCTGTTATTTTCAGATTATTTTCTTTTGACATATAATGACTTTAATGCACTGTACTTATTTTTAATTTAACCTTTAAGGTAAGAATTCTGTATTTCAGGAAAAATATCTTCATTCTGTTTGAAAAATAATAGTTTATTTTATTTTATTTTATTTTAATTTTATTTTATTTTGTTTTTTGGAGACTCCAATTTGCCACAGGACAAATTTTTAAAGGAACAGATCAAATTGGATGAAGGCTAGGTACCCTTTGAAATAATGATAAAATTCAACAGGCTCAACTGCCCAGCAATAGACTTCAATGTAATAGTAGAAGCATTGAAAAATAATAGGGTTTTTTTAATTCCCTAGTCCAACTCCCAATTTGACTGCAAAATCCTAATTTTTATTTTTCAAAGATCTTTTCAATTCTCTGCAGAGGACTTAACTTTGGATATACAAATTTCAGATATTTAGTGATCTTCTTTTTACAATCCTCTTTATGTAGAATGTAAAGCTTGTATTTTATATCACATTTTTTACTGTTGACATTAAATTAAAATTATTACAGAAACAATTGTGTTCCAACTGCTCTTTTGACACTTCTTTGATTAATATTTAACTAAATATATTAACTTTCTGTAGGCTGCAGAGAGACCAATAGAGCACAAAATTTCTACTGAATGAGATTTCCCCACCTTCTTGGTTATCGTACACCTGCCTTCCTTATAAGGAGAACAAGGAAGTAAATCATGTTGAAGTTGCTTTTAAGCACAGCTTTTCTTCTTTACCTGTCCAGGTAGCCTCTGTCTTCACTTTAGTCTTAATGAAAACTTTTTAATTTACATCTCGAGTTTCTTTTTCAAAGCAGTGTAAGTAGTATTTAAAATTTTACACTTCAAGAGACAAAGAATTTAATGATATCCAACTTTGGTCTTGTAACATGGAAGGTAATTCATTTTTTAATCTGTCTGCACAGCGAGAAGTGGAACGAATGGGGATTGAGCTGCTCTGCTTCTTCTTTCTGTTTCTAGGAAGGGCTGATCGCGTCCAAGGTAAGCTCTAAGTTCTCGAATGGATTGTTTTCACAGTGTGCTTGACAAACCTGTCATTTAGTTCAGAAGCTAGACCTGGAGTCATATTTTATATGATCTGTGTGATAGCACCTTTGCCACTGGGTAAAAACTTTAACAAACTACAGGTAAACATTGAGCTGTTCCCACGGTGAATGTTTAAGACTCAAGATACAGAAAATACAAGGTTGCACAGGCATTTTAATTAAACAACGTTACTGAATAATAGGGCTTCTTAATGCTACTGTGACAGTTGTTTTAGGAACTTTTTTCATTCCATAACAAAGATTTACCACTTAAGAATAATAATCTTAGGAGAGGAAAAGGATTTATTACCAAAACAGAAACACTACACATATCAGAGTAGCAAGTTCAATGGCTGCAAATGTTTTTTTTGAATAAAAGTGGCGGATGTTGAATAGGCTAGTCAACCCTGGGCTTGTGAGCAGTCAGATACTTTCAAATTTTAAGAGAAAAGAGATGAATCGTTTCTGGCTTACAAGGCACACACATTTGCCTTGTGATAGATATAAAATACCAATTTTTGTGAGAATTGCTAACTTTCTGAGGGCTGAACAGGAATCAGCGTTGATGTTGTTTTGTTCAAGTAATCTGAGAGGCGCAGGTCTCTTAAATGGAATGGACGGCAGTGACCTTAACCCCTTGCCTCTTGCTGGGTTTGAATGTAGGTAGCTGTGCCATGGCAGGTGCGGAGACCTGTGGTGACTGCCTGCTCGTGGGACCTCAGTGTGCCTGGTGCTCGCAGGAGGTAAAGCAAATGAACTCAACATGTTTTTAAAAGCTGTTTGTAGTTACTTTGTATTTTCAGTGACAGTTCTGATAGTGTCCTTTCAGTGGGATTATAAGAATAAAATATATCAATAAAGAAAAGCGTAAGTATTAGTGGTTCGAAGTGAAATGCATGTGATTACTTTTAAATGCAGTTTATAGAAAGAATGGATGTCAAATTATTCTTTAAAAAATACTTAACTCAGTGTCTTTTATTTAGCCTGAGTTTTCCTTTTATTTTAAACCCATTTTAAGGAGTTACTATGAAATATTGAGGCTTTTGGAATAGTCAAAATCATCGGATGACATTTTCTAAATTTAAATATACTGTAGTCATATTCTACTGGGAAATAAGATTTCCTGTGAATCACAGATAGGTTTATAAGAAGTGTTCTAAGTTTGGAGGAAACATTACTGTTCAGATATCGTCCCATTTTAATTTTTTTTTTCATTTTCATAAGCTTAGTGACTGTACTGCATCAGTGACAAAGCCCTTGGTCCAATGGAAAACTATGAAAATTAGTATAAAGGTGATTGGGGAACATATAACAAGTGATCTAAGTCCTCGCATATCCTGCGACTCTATAAAGAAAACTATAAATGATTCATGGTAATAAAAGAATATGACAAATTCCTAAGTTTTTAGAACAAGTCTCTATCCATTGAATGTCACAAAGAGAATCTAAATTCAGATCAAATGCTGCAGCACAAAATTCAGCCAAAACCAAGTAGCATGTCCAATGGAAAGCAAAAAAAGACACAGAACTCAGAATCCGGCTGTTACTGTTGAACACCAAATTCCGTGCGAATCCATGAGGCCTCAAACTTGAGAAGGAAACACAAACTTGCTCACTGCCCCACTACTGCTGTGACTGATGGGTCACAAACAAAATCCAAGTGGCACACATTTCTGAGCCTATGTATAAAAATAGGATTAAGAGGAGCTGGAAATGAAGCTTAGTACCTCGGGGCTTGCTTACCATGTGTGAAGTCCTAGGTATGATCTCAAGGACTAAAAAATAGAGCTGGGGATAAAGCTTAGCAGCACAGTGCCTCCCTGGCAAGAGCAAGGTCCTGGGTTCAATTCCTAGTACCAAATAAATAAATAACTGCAAAATAGGTGGATGATGGATAGGATAGGATAGGATAGGATAGGATAGGATAGGATAGGATAGGATAGGATAGGGTAGATCAATAAAATAAAAAGGAAAAGAAAAATAAAGCAAGATTAAGAATATAGAAAAGGACTGATTCCCATGTTTTGCACCAGAAACTTAAGTAACAAATCAGTCTAACATTTTTATTTAAGCATAGTCTTTGGTATTAACTTAAAAGAGCCCCCCATGGTGCTACTGACAGCTTAACTTATGGATAATTTTTGGCAATGAAAAGGATTGTCAGATCCAATGGTCGTATTATTTTCAAAGTCATTCCATAGAACTCTAGTAGAAGTCGTCATCAATGTATTGGTTGAGGTAGGCGGAGTAATAGGCAAGTTCTGCTTCTAATTAGGGCAGATAGAAAATAGGTTCCATGGTTAATGCCAGGTCCTGACTTTTGGCAAGGGCGGTGGCCATGCCTGACAGCACCTCCTTTTTGTTGAGCCTTGTGAAGCCTTCTGCTGCGCTTTGCCTTTGCTGAATCACAGGAAGTTAACGTTTGCTATGCCTGGGTGAGAGCTTCGAACGGCTTAGGCCTGACTGAAAAACAGCAAAATGTACCCTTAAAAGTACATTTCAGAAGAAATGTCGCTTTCCTAGTTAAAAAAAAAAAAAAAAAAAAAGCCAGAGAGGCTCAGACTTCTAAAGGGCAAGGAAAAGAATGTAAATGTTCTTGCTAAGCTTGAAGCAGCCGCCCTCAAGCTCAGCTCCAGAACAGTTACGGGCCTGAGGAGACAGGGGTTCGCCTCTAGATCCATCTCCAAACCCCTCCAGAACCAGCCCAGCCCCAGGTCTGGCGTGTGAGGGAGAACAATGGATCCATCTCTCTGCTCTGAGTGCTGCAGAATCAGAGCGGCAGCATCTGTGCCGGGAAACGCTCCATGTCCCTGCCGGGCCACACAGCGGGATCTACCTGGGGCTAAGAAACGCCGGGGTCCCGCACAGAACGCGGGCTTTCAAACCATCTTCTCTTTCACTTTCCTTCTTCATCTTCAAATCTTGGAAAGTTCTAAAAGGCCTTCAACTAGACCATTTTAAGACACTATGCTTAAAGCCCCCAAGAGGTTGATTTTAGTGTAATGTAACCCACCAATAAATAAAAATTCATAAAGAGTGCCAGTCGGGGAGATATCATAATCCTGGTCTTTTAGGAACCTACATAAAAGTCTTTCTTTGTCAGTGGATTTGGTACTAGACACATTATAAAGCTTGGACAGTCCTAGGATTCCAGGAACTAATAGGTCATCCCTAACAAATAGTCTCACAGAATAATGTCAACTCTATGAATTCAACTATTTTAAGAATCTATCATGACACGAGATAAGTTTTTAAAAAGTATAAGTTTTTAAAAATAAAAACTGCTAAACCAGGTGTGATGGTGTATGCCTGTAATCCTAGCACTCTGAAGACTGAGACAGGAGGATAACTAGAGTTCAAGGCCAGTCTGCGCTTCCTAGAGAATTCAAGGGCAGCTTGAACTGTAGAGCAAGACCTTGACTTAAAAAAAAAATGCTACAGGAATTCAATTAAATATAATTAAAGGATACTCCAGTTTTACTCAGAACTTTACTGACAGAATTGTCTGGTGTTCAGCTATAACTTACCTTTAGACCTACAATCACTGTCTGTCATGTGAGGGTATAGCATACTTAGGAGGGCAAGCTGCTTAACTAGCAAAGCATGTTTAAAAGTTTAATTACTGGCCTATTCTAAAGAAATGCAGATTTGTCTTTTTTCTCTTTTTATTCTGTTTTAGAATTTTACTCACCCATCTGGCGTGAGCGAGAGGTGTGACACCCCAGCAAATCTTTTAACCAAAGGATGCCAATTAACCTTCATTGAAAACCCTGTCTCCCAAGTGGAAATACTCAGAAATAAGCCTCTCAGTATAGGCAGACAGAAGAATAGCTCTGACATTGTTCAGATTGCACCTCAAAGCTTGATTCTTAAATTGAGACCAGGTATGGTATGATTTCTTAACAGAAGAAAGAGCAGTCTTGTAAATAAATACACGACATGTGGTGTAATACTACTATTCCATTAATATATAGTCCAGCAGATCGCATGTCACTAATTACAAGGACTCAGAGTTTCCATTCTCTAGAGAGCTGCTAGCACCTTTCCTCATTCATGTTGATCACTTGCACTCCAAATGTGTTGGTATAGAAGTGTTCTCTAGCCATCACCATGTGAATTACTCAGGTGCCACTCAGGCTTACCGCACATTTCTTCAAGGGTTGAAATGCAAATTTAAGCTCCCTTCTTTGTTTGGTTCACCTTTTCTAAAATCACACACACAAAATTGGGTTTATCTTTCATCTAAATGGATGCTAATTCTCCCAAGGAGATATAATATATCCTAAATTATGCCTACTTTAGTACTACTAAACTCCCTGCTGAAAGATTTTCATGGGCTTATTCATTTCTATACTCTACCAGTAGTTCATCAAACTGTTATGTATCTTTGGTAAATGGTAATTGAAATGAAACAACAGAGTTAGGCTTATGGGTATGAAGCTATAATCCCAGCTACTCGGGAGGCTGACTCAGGACAGTCAAGAATGCAAGCAGCGAAAGCAACAGAACAAAATCTTGTCAAAAGACAGAGGGAGAGAGAGGAAAGAAGGAGACGGAGACAGGAAATAGAGAAGTGGGGGAGGGGGAAGAGAAGGGAAGGAAGGAAGAAAAAAATGAGAGCAAAAGAAAAGAAAAAAAAAACTGCATTAGCAGCTGGCCCAGAGATCAGCTAGTTGCAAATAAATCTTACATTTTCATGGATTCGCTTCTCTTGCACGGCTTTGCAGGCAGTGAGCAGACGCTGCATGTGCGCGTCCGCCAGACTGAGGATTATCCAGTGGACTTGTATTACCTCATGGACCTCTCTGCCTCCATGGACGATGACCTCAACACAATCAAAGAGCTGGGCTCCCTGCTTTCCAAGGAGATGTCTAAATTAACTAGCAACTTTCGACTGGGCTTCGGCTCTTTTGTGGAAAAACCAGTCTCCCCTTTCATGAAAACAACACCAGAGGAAATTGCCAATCCTTGCAGGTGAGTGAGTGATGCTCTGGCATAACTGTGCATGGATGTCTGTGGGACACCCCACCGCCAACCCTGAGCAGCATTTGCCAGGAGCTGGGTGACTCCCCTGCATTTCCATGATGTCTGCTTGCATCTCAATGGGTTTCTCAAGGCTCAGGTTGTTTGCAGCCCAGGTGAGCTCATCTTAGCTGCACCATGCTAGCCTTGAGTCCTTGCACCTTTGCTTCTCCTATAGGCAAACTAAATTTTGTGTTCTGCAAGCAGCAGGATGGAGCCTTTCTGGAGGTTCTATTCAGTTGTTCTCACCCAAGCCCCTCACAGACTTTGATTCTCAATGACCACCACTTTCTCAAGCTACTTGACAGTGATGTACATTTTCTCAGTCTTCCTCCGCTCTAACCACTCTGATCAAAGTCATTTTTGTGTATTTCTCTGCCACACTTTGGGAAATGAGGGTTTCATTCATTGCTTGGAGAAGGCCTTTGCAGCCAGCACTGCTGTTAAATTCCATAGGAAATGAGGCAATGATTCCATTAGAACATGCTGTAGTTAGTTATTAAGACCATGGATTATGCAGATGATGGTCAAGGGCAAATAACTCTATGATGGCTCACCTGTACCACCAGTGACATGTTGGAAAACAAGTTATTTAATAGCCTTATGGTGAAAAAGAACTGCATTTGCTCTGTGCCAGACCCTGCGGTGCAGGCTTTATATACATGATCTCATTCAATCTCTGTAATGACAGCAGCTTAAAGCAGGTTTCACCAGCCCTATGCTAGAGAAAGTAACAGTGTCTCTGAGAGGTTAGTAATTTGCCCATGGCCTCATGAGTAATCAGTGATTTGTAGCAAGACCTGGATTTGCCCCAAACCAAGCTCTTTGCTATGACATCTAGGACAAACAAAATGATTTTCCAAATGTATATTAACTTTTAATACTTTCTTACACTGAAGGCATCCATCTCTATAAAAGATAAATAGGTTTCAGTATATTACTTAAAAATACTTCAGTCTAGTTCTTACCTGTAATCTAACAGAGCCAAAATAATTTAACCATAAAAGGAATTTATCAGTGATCATAACTCTTAAGAATTATGTTTGGTTGAAAGTACTAGAGATTGTGGCTTTAAAAGAAGAATTTTTTTTTAATCTTTCGCACAAAGGAATTCCAATGAAAGGCAGCTTGGAGCTTGTACGGCAGCTCTACAGATAGCAAGAATCTGAACACTTTCTACTTTTTGTCCACCATCCTCACTACTTTGATTTTATATTCACAGTCCGGAAAGGCTACTGAGAGCACTAATCATGATTTTCTCATTCCAGGCACCAAGATAACAGGGCAAAGGGGGCAAATAAATAAATGTACTCTCCTTGATTGGGCATGGTGGTACTTGCCTGTAATCTCAGCAGTCAGGAGGCTGAGGCAGGAGGCTCACCAAGAGGTCAAGGCCAGCCTGGGATATATAAACGAGTTCAAGGCTTGCCATACTACATAGTGAGACTCTGTTTCAAAAAAAAAAAAAAAAAGAAAAAAAGAAAAGAAAATAGATACCCTCTGCTCCTAGACTGACTGACTGATGGCTTTTGATAATGAACCTACTAGTGTAATTAACACCCAAGATGTAATGCATAGAAACTTTCCCCTGCCCCAGCAAGTCAATTCTACTTCCTCAGAGGGAAGTGCTTTCTGATTTCTATAGATTGGTTTTGCCTATTCTTAGATTTTACGTAAATGAAATCATACAGTGTATTTTACTCAACATAATGCTTTTAAGATTCAGTCATAATTTTGTGCAGTTCAGAAGTTTGGTCCTTCTCTGTTTTAATAAATAGCCCACTTAAGGATTTACTGCATGTTGCTTACTCATTGACTGCTTTCGTGGCATTTCCATTTTTGGGCTTTCATGAAAAATGCTGCCATGATCACTTGCATATGTATCTTGGTAAGAATATGTTTTTGTTTTTCTTACATGGATAAATAGATTAAAAGTGTTGCATTCATTGTATGATTTTAGTTTTGAGGTGAAAAAAATCAAACTGTTTTCCAATGCAAATTTGCCATTTTACATATCCATCAGCAATCTGAGGAAATTCCCAATCACATTCATACTAAATCTTAGAGTTAGCAGAACTAAACTCACTTAATTATTTTGGGCTCACTGAAAGAATTAAGCCTTTATAATTTTAGCCATTTTGATAGGTCTGTAATGCTATCTTACTCTAGCTTTCCTCAGCACTTCCTTAATGTTGACTGATTTTTTTTGAAGTTAGAGACTATGTATTTGTCTTTATTCCTATAGACAAAAAAGTAAGTGCGAAGAAATTTCATATCAGTGTAATACAAAAATAAAATTAATCTCTCCAGAAGAATACAGGATTTATTATTTTTTTGCCATAGTTTTGTTGATAAACAAATAGCAATGAGACAGTTTCAAATCAAATCGGTAGGACAGTTTCAATAATTAACACACTGCATACATTCTTCTTAGTGGTTAATTGCTGTACAAGATGCGGACTTGATATCCTATTTACAAGCACCATTAGAACAAATCACTCTATACATTAACAGAATGTAACTATATATCTATCCCAACCACTTTGAATACACAGATACAAAATGGACATTCATCTGTATCCCCTTTTTTGTTAAGTTCCGTTATTTGCATATTATAGGTGCGTAAACTCAGCACAATATTCTAAAAGAGTCCAGTACCCCATAATAGTATTGGGTCTTCCTCTTAACTGGTGTTGACTGATGTTTAGTATCTTTTTTTGTGTTTATACATCATTCTTATTTCTTGTTATATGAAGTATCTTTTAAACTCCTTTATCTCCTTTAAAAACTTAGATCGTTTTCTTAATCTTGCATTGTAAGAGTTCTTTATATATTCTGCAAACAAGTTATTTGTCAAATACATGTTTTGTAAATATTTTCTCCAAGTTTTTGGAATTTGTCTAGCAATTTGTCTCTAGTGAACCAAAAGTTTTAATTTTGATGAATCCCAATCTATCAAGTCTTAACTTTATGGTTGGTGCATTTCTTTCTAAGAAATCTTTGCCAACTCTGAGGGAACAAAGATTTTTCTTATGTTTTCCTTAGGAGCTGTGTAGTTCAAGCTCTTAAATTTTGGCTTATGATTATCAATGGGTTTTTAAATTTGAGAAGGATTTTCAGGCTGCCTTAATGGCAGGTGTGATGCAGCATGTGGAGCTGGGGATTCAACCACGGCCCCCTGCACCTGACTGGGTTTGCCCCAGCAGGTGCTTAAACAACTGAGATAAGCAGCAAACCCTCTGAGTTTTTAAATTTGGAATGAGAATAAAAGTCTAGTTTCATTTACTTTTGTTTCCATACAGTTAACTATTCATTCTAGCTGTTAAGCAAGACTTTCCACACCAAATTGCCCTGATGTCTTTGTTAAAGAGCAGTTAACTGCATACAAGTAAGCCTAATTCTGGGCACTATTCTCTTTAATTAATCCACTCATTTACTACACCCATATAATACTAATGCCTTACCTATCTTACTGTACTTTCACAGAAAGTTTTGAGATGAGGAGTGTAAGTCCTCCAACTGTATTATTCTTTTGTCTTGGCTGTCATAGCTCTTTCATATTTGCATATAAATATTAGAATCATTTGTTCAAGAAATATGCTAAGATTTTGACCAAGATTGTATTGAAGCCATAGATCAGTTTGAAGAATGAACATCTTAAACATACTGAATGCTCAAGTCTTCCAAGCATTTCACAGGACATATATCTTCACTTCTTTAGACCTTAGTTTCTCTGAGCAGTTTTCAGAGTGAATCTTGCACATCTTTTATTTTATTTATGCCTAGGGACATATTTACAATTGCATTTTCCAGTGATTTTCTGATAATTTATAGAAAAGCAATTGATTTTGCATAATTTGCAGCCTAAATAAATTTTTTCCTTACAGTAATTCTAGTGTAACTTCATAGATTCCTTAGGATCTCTTTGTATATGATCATGTCATCTACCGATAACTTCTACAATATATATGCCTCTTTTCTCTTTTTCTTGACTTGTGCTGGTCAGTGTCAACTGTGAAGTTTTACATTGATGAGAGAGGACAAATTTGTCATAATAATGCTATTAGGGGAAGCTTTCACCTTTAAGTATGTTGTTGTCTACTGTTGTTTGGTCTTTATCAGGTCAAGGAAATTCCCTTCTATTCCTTTTTTAGTAAAGTTGTTTTATTTTGTTCTGCTTTATTATGAATGGACGTTGTGTTTTATTTTTCCAAATGAGTTTTTCCAGAAATTTTATTCAACACCTTAGACTTGCATATGACCACAGCCGGCTGCAAAGGAAGCATACTCTTTTCTGCAAAATAGAATTGCTAAGGCATAAAAAGACGGACCTTATGCAGCAATGAAAAGTTCCTGCAACACTGCACACACAGATTTGTAGAGAGTGATAATGAATTGCACTCTCAAAATTCTGAATAATAAGTAGTAGGGATGATCATCATTATTAATTATTAGGGTCAGTGCTAGCAACTTCTTAATGCCTAATATAAAGCAGTTATGATGCTTTCTGGCATTTTTTTTTAAATCAGAGAATATTGTATGTATGTAAAATTTGTATTTAATTCTTTCCCAGATTAATTCTTTTTTAATTCTTTTCCCTGCAACAAGCTTCAGCAGAGTCTAGTGGGACAATTCCACCAAGGATTATAAAATACTAGCTCTCTCTTTGCAATATATTTAAAACCATTCTTTCTGTCACAGATCAGACAAGAGGTAGCAGCATAAAGTGTGCTAATGACCATCTGAAGCAATGAGTCTGGGGTCTTCGCAGAGGGGAAACAATTGAAATTTACAAGGTTGGATGGCTCAGCTGAATTGGCAGCCCAACACCTTAAATTAACAAGGAGATCCTTTCTTAATGAGGGGTCTAGAAAAATCAAATCAGTTTGGCTACTTAGCTCTAATTTATATATATTTCATTCATGCACACATGTGTCCAACAAAAATTTATT